ATTTCCTATTATTTCCTATTATTTAAATATTTTAAAATCATATCTCCTATTATTTTTACAGTTTTTTCCCACAATTTTTACTTTTTTACTTAAAACTCAACTTCTCTGACTAGGACTTTAAGAAGCGTTGCTTCTAATGCTGATTTTAGGCGAAGAACTCGCTTCATTGTATAATATTTAGGGTTCCATCTAGTTTCCACAATTATCAATTAAGTTGTCATCATTTATCGGTGGAAAAAAAATATGAGCTGAATGTACATGTATGCACATAACTTCTACACTTTTTGAATAGAAGTTTGATTGCTGGTTCACAAAAGCGTGAACCAGCAGTCATTTTTTTAAATATGTTTTAATACCTGGATCATTTACTATTGACAGTTGATGGTCCCATAAATTCAAAATTAATTTTAAATTTATGGGACTAAATTGTGTTTTTTTTTTCCGGCATTTTTCTAGACTAGAATCAACTTTTATAGTAAAAATTTTTACCTGGAATTGTTAAATCGGAGCATATCATGCTTTTGACTATTGGGTGTTATAATAAAAGTTAGCTCTGCTTCTCGTTTATTAGGTTTTGATTTTGCTCCAAATTTTGTCAATTTATTTGTGAGTTGGTTTGCGAGTTCACTTAAAATACTTATATGTGGATAAAGCATTTTAAAATGCAAAATTAGATTGCTAAATGATTGAAGCTTTGAATTGGTGAACCTTTAGCTGTTTTTGCATCGCAAATGCCACAAGTAGCGTATTTTGAATCTACTTCTGACACATTGTAGCGATTCCATTTTGACATGGTTTGCGGTTTACAAAGTTACTCTGAATGATAAAGTTGCTCAAAAAAGTAGAGAATTTGAGCTAGAGCAAATGTAATGGAGTCCTTATAAATACATAATTAAGATTAAACACACTGGAAATACGTTAAAACATACCCTGTCATTTTGTCCTCTTGTTTACTTATTGGTGTTAATATTATGGAAATATTAAAATTACTAAGATGTAAGCACTTTTTTTCAAGTATTTGCATTTAATGTAAGTTATTTAACGTAAATTATTAAAAGAAATAAAAATATTAAAGAAATGACAAATGAAATTTAACATATAGCATCAAAAAGAACTTTACAAATTTTTTTTGAAACTCGGTCAAAGTTAGTGCATTAAACCATATTATATCTCACTCTAATTAAATTTATTTATTTATTTATTATAATTTTTTTATTATTTTTTTTATTTATTTGAGTTTTCATGCTATATTTTTCTATACAATGTTCTTATATCCGAAGATATTGTTGGCTTAGCATAGGAACAGCCACAAATAGTCATTACGACTAATCCAAAGTAGCGTCCGTTATTGACCAACATTTTTGCGTACCGAAGTACTACTCAAGCGCTGAGTTGGCGGTGGCGGGATTTGAACCTGTATCGTTCAACAGTCATCCCGCCACATAAATTTGTATCGTTATCGTATAAAACTGTATCGTTCAACAGTATCCCGCCACATAAATTTACATAAAGAATATTTGTTACTAATGTCGCAGCTCATTTTTTTTTTTAATTTTTAATTTTATCTATTTTAGTTGCCCCAATAAGTCATTACGGTCTAACCACAGAGCACCGCAGAAGAGCATTTAATAGGAAGTGCACTCTTCCTTCCCAACTAATGTCGCAAAGCTTGCCCAGAGGTAAGGCTTGAACCTCGGATCTTAAGTTTATGAAGCAAGTGCGCTATATATAATACATTTTTATTCGGTAATATTCTCCATTAAAACAAACAATCACTTTATAATATTTTTATTATTTTAATCTAACTTATTAAAATTAAATTAATTCAATTTCGGATAAAGTTCAATATATTAGATGGATCAAAAATTCACCAAAATGATTAAGCTTTTAGTTCACAGATTTGAAGTCAACTATAAAACTTGAATAATATCTTAGTTAGGAGTTTAAAGAATAATATCTTAGTCAGGAGTTTAAAGAAATGATTAAAGTAAAGAAAAAACTTTTTAAATGCTAAGGGTGAAGTAACTAAACTTAAAAGTGATGGGGTGGTCATATTATTGAGCAAAAGTAGCACAGTGATTAATTCAACCCTATTTTTGGGCAAATTTTAAACCAGTAAGGTAGGAGGCGTGAACTTCCTAATTAAATGTTCTTACGCGGCGCTCTATGATAAGACTGTAAGGACTTCTTAAGACATCATTTTTTTAATTTTATTTTTAGGCACTCCAAGAAGACCTTACGGACTTGTCACAGAGCAACGCGGAAGTGCATTTAACCAGGAAGTTCACGCCTCCTTCCTTACTGCGACGCGAAAATATTTCCAGAGCTCGTTACGAGCCTGGATCTCCTGCTTATTAAGCAAGCGCTCTAACCGTTGCGCCACGGCCGGATACATAGGCACCTAAAGTAGTAATAATAAAAAGAGACATTGTTTGTCTTGAAAGTATCAAATAAATATCAACTTGTTGCCCTTTACCCCTAACGCGAGGGGCAACAAGTTGATAAATTTTTTTTGTACTACTCCTAAATAGACTTATATTCATCAACAAACTTTAAGATTCATATGGTCATAATTTTTGAAGGCTGAGAGACAATACTATAAAACTTAAAGTTTATTGATGAGTATAAGTCTAATTAAGAATAGTAAAAAAATATTTATCAACCTGTTGCCCCTCACTTTTGAGATAAGGAGAAAGGGCGAGGGAGGGGGGGATGAAATTAAAGAGATTTTCGTTCCCAGCCTCTAATCATTGCAATTTTTTGCAAAACCTCATTATTTGACATAAGCGTAAACATACAAATGTTTTGGAGTTTGCTCCATGTCTGGAAGATAGCTATCTCAAACACCAAAAATTCCTGGATCCGTCACTGGTCAAATTCGTACAATTATAGCAATTTATTATGCTTGATGTTCATCAGCATTTCCCTGACAACCATAAGCTGTCACAGAGAAGAAATCCCATTCAAGATTAGCTAAAAGTTTTATGCAAAAGCGATAACTTATTATTAGATCGGAGTGGCTGTATCGTCAGCTTTTAGAGTCATTTCAGAAAATCAGAAAGATTGTTAATATAGATGAACAAAAACAAGGGACTTAAGATAGTACTTTGCTTACCCCAGAAAGTATAGTAAGTAACGTTGTCCATCAAAGAAAGATTAATATTGCTGTTCAAAAATTCTAAGGTTTACCCGTCACTCCATATTAAGAGGACTGGATTATTAAGATACATATAAAGATTATTAAGATACATATTAAGAAGACTATTAAGATGGAACACCCTCATTTCTAAAGCAAGCGTTCAAACAAATGTCATACGGCTGCTAAAACTGATGTATTGATTGTCCAAAAGTAAGTTGTTGAACTCAAGGTATGATAATAAAGATTATTTCAAAAGCTATTTTCAGAATTTGATTTGAAATAAAAGGGTAAACGCAGAAAACTTGTCACTCAGCTCAATATAAGCTTAATATAAAGTTTTTTGGTTAAAAAATGGGTTTCGCAAATGAAACTAAAATAATAAAAACCTCATCCCTCCTCCTCAAACTTACAAAACACAGAGAAGTGTTTTTAAATGCTAAATTTAAATCTTGAAATTGTCGCACTTTAAAAACTGTTTTAAAATTTAGATCTTGTGCATTTCTATTAGGGTTCTAAAACTGTATTTACGTCATACTTTTGTATTACAGGTAAGCGAAAATAAGCATTTCTTTTTTCTTATATTATGAGATATCAATAAACTTGATAAAGCATTAAAAAATATTTAATGGTTGAATTTTCTGAGACATCTTGTTTTGATACCATTATTAACATGCAAACGTAATGAGTTCAAAAGTCCCCTGCTCAAAAGTTATTGAACATTAAGAATAGAAAAAAAAAATGACGTCTTATTTAAGTTAACATAGGTAGCGTTTTGAATGTTTGATTATTAACGGCATAACTAATGATATTAAAGTTTGTATAGCACTGTGATAGCCAATATTAAACTTAGTACTGTAATGAGCTAATATCAAACTCAGTAGTGTGATAGCTAATGTTAAACTCAATAGTGTGATAGCCAATATTAAACTCAGAAGTGTGAAATGAAATAACCCAGTAGTAAGAAGTAACTCAGTAGTAAAAATTAACTTAGTAATCAGAAAACTAAATAATTAGTAATTATAAAATTAATTAATTTAGTAATGATAAAACTAAATAACTTTGTAGTAAAAAAGGCTTTTAAAACTAAGAAGTCATTAAAAATAACTTTTTTTAACTATATTTTTCTTTATAATTTTAGACAAGTCTCTTAAATAATAAAACTTGTAGTGTCGTGTAAGTAATCAAATTAAAACAGAAAAAAAATTGAATTTACTTATTGCACGTAATCCAAAAGTATTCAGGCCGTAGCTAGGCTAAGAAGTCCAGAGCACCATTCAGGGATTGCAAAAACGACATAATAAGTGCGCTTTATTTAGTTTTTTTGGTGCTTCATCTCAACGACGTCTTAAAAGCTTATTTTTTAAGAAAGATAGATAATCATTTTCAATAGAATCATTGATACCTTTGATGGTGTAAAGTCCAAATAAAAGTTATTACAACGTATTACAGGTATTATAAAAACGTATTTAGTTGCATCTAAATTATTATACCTGTTGGTCATTTAGATTTAATATTTTTTATGTATTTATAAAGTAAACCACACGTTGCTCAGATTTGAAAATAAAAAGCTGAAAATGATTTATAGTTGTTACTTCTAGTAAGGTAACTAAACAATAGGTACTTTTAGTAAGGTTTTTTTGAATAAACTTTGAATGAACTAGTGCAATCATTTTTTCTTTTTTTTTATACATTTGCAGATAATGAATCTGAAAATGTATAAAAAAATACACATATAAACATACATCTTTGTTGAAACATTATAGAATATAGAGGTCAAATGTAATGCTTCACTTCTAGTTTCTGATCCAGAGCCTCTAAAGACCTAGCTACGGCCCTGTAATTACTGATACATAAAAAAAGCTCAATAAAAACCGATTAGTTAATAACAATAAATACACAGTATTCACACGCGCAAAATGCTACTGAGGATCTGATGAAACCAACCTAAATAAAAAAAGAAATTATGACTATCTTTTAACGAACAATATAATAACGAACAATATAATAACAAAAATAATGTTTTGTTTGTAGCCATGACAATAAAAAGAATAACATATCTGTTTGTAGTAACAACAACAAAAGAGTAGTTTATTTCTAATAACAAGAAATAATAATTTTTAAGAACATTTTAAAATTGATTTAATTAAAGATAAACAGAAGATGATGTGTTTAAAGTTTTTTGAATTCATTCACAATGCATGCAAAACTGTTCAATTCACAGATGCACTGGTATACAATAGAATGCTTGCCATTCAAAAAACTCCAAAGATTTGCATCAATCAGCACATAAAGATATTTAATAACCCTCAAATAAAAAATTATTAATTTTGATTTTTATATTAACATTATTGTTAAAAAATTATTTTTTTGAGAAAATGAAAAAAAAAAAATTTGTTCAGAATATTTTTGGCGGAGACAAAGTAAGTACCAATAAATCAGTAAAAATTGCAGAGATTCAAAAAACTGTTTACTCAAAATGGTTTAAACTTGTTAAATATCTGTATAAATAGTTAAAATTTTCAAAAGTAAGCCATAACTATCTCATGTAAAAAGTAAGCCATAAGTAAGTCATCTAAAAAATTACTAACCTCATCATTTTTACTAATCAAGAGTTATTTATGCCCACTAAAATATTTTCAACAAAGTTTAGAAATAAAGAAAATATTTAAAAATTGTTGATTGTAAGGCAAGAAAACTACTATACATAAAATGTTTGAAAATAAAAAATTATAAATATCGAAATAGTTATCAAATGTCGAAATCTTTTATCACATTACTTAACTACACAGAAAATTGTGCTAAAATATGTTTGTTATGCTTTCAAAAAAATCTAGATTTAGCCATAGCAAGAAGCGAAACTTGCCAAAACAAAAATGGTACTAGAAAAAAATGTTATCTGTTAAGACTGTTGTTCTCAATGATGTAAAAGTAAAGGTTCTTAAGAATGTAGAGAAATTCTTTTTAGGCGCAGAAAACAAATAATGATCTACCAAACATTTTTGCTTCCTATAAAATTATTCTTACAACTCTGAAATGATCAGATCCTTTGTATTATTGTCTTATTTGTGAATTTACTCATTTTGATATAATCGAAACAAGAATCCATTAAGATTAGTTTTCAGAAAGACATAGTAAAAAATAACAAGAAAAAGTCGTGTTTTGTTTTTCTTTCTATTGTTTTTTTTTTGTGTGTGTTAATATTAGAAAATCATAACATTCAACCAAAAACTTTTTAAACCATAATTGTATTCACCCTTCATCCTGATAAAAGAAAATTTTTTGGTATTTTGCATATGTCAAAATTATAATATGGCAGAAAACTTTCTCAAAAAATGCTAAATTTTTTATTGTTAAATATCTTATTTCAGAAATGCTGCCATGAAAGGACTTTATTAGTTTATTAGCTCTACTAACAATGGAAATTTTGTTTAAACTTTTTAGGCTATTTTGAAATATGAAAAAAATTGCACAGTTTTGTTGTAGTAGCGTAAACAATTTCAACAAATACATATTTAAAGAAACAATTTAGAAATTAAAGAAAAACCCAAAAATTTACTTAATGACTCAACGTTAGAAATTTCTTAGGATCAAAAAGATAGAAAGATAAAAGGACTTTTTTTGGCTATATAAAAGATCTTTTTGACCATAAATTTAAAATATGAAAAATACACACACAGATATATATATATATATATATATATATATATATATATATATATATATATATATATATATATATATATATATATATATATATATATATATATATATATATATATAATTCAAGATAAAATTATCATTAGAACAATAATTAATTAAAAAATATTAAAAGTATTGTAGACTTACCATATGATTCACATGAAATAATAGCAGATTCAACACGAATGGAGATAGCATTCATTTCAATTAAAACAGCCTCTAACATAACACTACGTTCAAACATTAAATCGTAGAGCTCCCACAAGGCAATAAAATTTTGAGGAATGTCATTACAATTGATCACATCACGTAAGTTGCTTTTTATCTAAATTCATGCAAGAAATGGAAGAACTATAAGATTTGAAAGTAAGTTAAAAAAATTCCAATGGAATCCTTTAGGATTTTGCACAAGAATAAATATGATTGATATGCAAGATAATGTAAATTTATTTAAAAAACAAATAGTTCAAACATGAAAATTTATCTTTTTAAAAATCATGAAGGATACTATAGGATATTTTTGATGATGACTAAAAAAAAAAAACTTAATTGACTTACTGCATCCAGTTTTTTAATTGTTTCATTAATTTGAATAGTTTGATTTGTCAGCTGTAATTTCATAGAAGAAAGAACCATCTTGTTGCATGCTAAAGACACACACAGATAAATAATAAAATATTTTCAAACTTAAAACCTAAAGAAGTTCTTTTGACTAATATTTAGTCATCTTCAATTAAAATAATTAATATAATAAATGGTTGAAATATGATCAGTAAAAATAAAATAAAAATAAACAAAAAAATGTTAGTTGTAATTTAAAAAGACGAATTGTTATTCATTTAAACATTGCATAAAACTATAAGGAAACATGTCGAATAAGTAATAGTTTCATAAATTTCAACTGTAAATAATTTTTTTTGTACAGTTAAAAACTCAGTTGAATAATTATTGTGGAGAAATTTAGTCACCCAAGCAAAATTGATTCTTAAGATAAATAACTTTTAGAAACATTTTTAAGCGTATTTAAAAGATATTTAAGACCAAGTTTATATCATAATTTACATTATAAATAAATCAGTTAAAACCATAAAATCTGTAGTCGAATGCATTATTTCATGTGATCACATGAAATAATGCATTTAAATTCAGGGAACCTGCTTTTATAACTAAAACATTTTAAATTAAATGATATTTAATAAAAATATATTTGGAAAAAAAAGTAAATTATTATAAGTTTTTGAAGCTCGGAAATTTTTTGTGAATATTCATTATACTCTGGTTATAATATTCATTATACCCTGGTTATAATATTTATTATACCCTGGTTATAATATTCATTATACCCTGGTTATAATATTTATTATACCCTGGTTATAATATTCATTATACCCTGGCCTATTATAATTATTTTCTAATTTCCCTTATCATGCCTATGATGGACGTACCAATAAAACTAAACCAAGAACAAATGATATAATTAATGATAGATATGACACATGTTTCATACTTAATTTTCAATGTTCTATTAATTATAAATAGTCACCAGCATGTATTATATATTTTTATTTGATTTGAAAATAATTATAAATGTGTAAAATCAAGAACACATAGCATAAAAAAACATTTGTCACACTTATTTTTTATTTACTTATTATAACACATATTTTTTCAAGACCTTTTAACTAAATAAACTTGGGACAGTTTATGAAATCTTGTTACATAACATAAACATAATGAGTAGACACCATGGACAACATCAAGAACACATAGTAACAACTATAATATATGTTGCATGCCAATTGTTTAACGTAACCATAAAGAACATGAAGGACACAAAGTAACAACAACAAATAACACATGTTGCATACCAATTACTCAAATTATTAATCAAAGTATCTAGGATTCATAGTACATTTAAGAACATTAGTGTAAATCATAAGCAAATTTTAAAATAACACACCAACGACACATGATTTAACATATGACATGTTTTTTGCGTTTATATTTATGAATTCTTAGATCCATATAATAGTTAATTTATATAACAAATGTTGACTTTCATTTTGATTAATCAACAATAAAATCAAAACACCAGACAAAGGACATATGTATTATAAATACCTAGACATTAACATTTTTTGTTGCATATGCTTGCATAAAAAGAACAAACAACAACATAAAATGTGTATAATATAGGTTTCACACCAAGATTTTAAAGAACAATAATTTAATAATTATTTATATACTTGATTATAATTTATACTAGATTATAATAATTTAGAGACATTCAAAAAAAATAAAGAGATAGAGAGTGTGGATTTTCAAGTCTAAAGACATCTGATTAGGTTGTCTACTGTAAGATATTTTAAAGTTACTAATTTTGTTGGATTTTATCCACAAATGTTGCAAACTTGATAAGAATCGCTTAATGAAAGAAGAGTGGAAACTTTGCCATAAATTGTATTACATTCTAAATTGTGTTTGACTTAAAATCAGCATATGGTTGTTGAGCTGAGCTCAGTTAGCATAAAAAAAACTATATTCTGCTTAAACAATTTGTTGGTTTTCTTTAATATATTGCATTTGAACAGAGCAGCAGTATTAAGCTTAAGAGTGTTTTGGGGTTAAGAGGGTTAAGAGTGTTTTGGGGTTAGTCCATAGAACAAAATCAGATTCCTGTACTTTATGTTGCACAGGTACTGAGATTCTTTAACTATGGCAATCTGTCTACTGCATCTTCAGTTCTCTGAAATAGGCTGTCCAGTTAAACCAAAAAATCTGAATTGTTTATAAGAAGAAGAGTACAATAAGGTTTAGGTAGTTTAGATTTATCCATGATTTTCTAAACTCTGTTTGCAGCATGATCCATTATTCCTTGAAGAATTTCAGAAGCACTGCAGTTTGTCATAATAATTTTAAATCTGGAATGCAATCATTTTTAGCTTTACCAATATAATTAAAGGCAGAATGTAATATAAAATCTTTATCTAAGCTTCCTTGACGAACAGTTTGATAGTCAACCCCATTCATTCTACAGCCTAAGATTAAAACCAAAGCTTTTTCTGCTAAGTAAATTTTAGAACATGATATATTACAGGACCCATCTATTTTCTATCTACTTTCAATTGAATATTTATCTATCTACTTTCAATTGAATATTTATCTATCTACTTTCAATTGAATATTTATCTATCTACTTTCAATTGAATATTTATCTATCTACTTTCAATTGAATATTTTAAAACTTGGGCATCTTTTAATTGTCCTTCTTTGTTAAGATTAAGAATATAAATAAATAAGAATAAATGAAGTTTTCAGTGGTAACTCCCAACTTTTCATTAATTTCTGACAATCTTCTTTTTTTAGACCTTGTCTTTAAATGATTTTGATTATGCACCTCATTTTAAATTTTTTATCTGATCTTGCTTTTAAGGTTCATTTACAATAATTCTCTATTTATCCATTTCTCGTAAGAATTATTAAATCTCCCTTTTTGTTAACGTATTTCATTTTAAAGTCTTTCATAAATTTTTCAGTTAAACTATTAGGATTGTGTTTGGGAATTGTTTGCATTGAGATTATATTATACATTGTGAGCATAGGATTGTGTTTAGGATAGGAATGAGAAATCAATATACAAAATTTACTCACTAATTAAATTTAAATATTTATTTTCATATATTTCTTTAATCAAGTAATCAAAAATGTCTTTGCTCTTCATATTAAAATTTGGTCTCAAAATTATTACAAATTGTTTAGTTTTTCACGAATATTATTTATTTTGATTATTTAAATTTTTATCCTCAAACTTTTATTTGCTTTTATTCTAGAATATTACGCTATTTATTTTTATTTATTTTTATTACGCTATTTATTTTTATTTATTTTTATTACGCTATTTATTTTTATTTATTTTTATTACGCTATTTATTTTTATTTATTTTTATACGGTATTTATTTTTATTTATTTTTATACGCTATTCATTTTTATAGAAAAACATTTCAAAACATTGCAAGTCAGAGTTTTATTTTAAATGCATCATGTTTGAATTATTTCGCTTTTGATTTTTATGGAAAAACATTTCAAAAGATTGCAAGTCAGAGTTTTATTTTTAATGTATCATGTTTTTAATGTATCATGTTTTTAATGTATCATGTTTTTAATGTATCATGTTTTTAATGTATCATGTTTTTAATGTATCATGTTTGGAATAACTCTACAGTTAGAAAAGCAAAAAAAAAGTTCCAAAACTTCTAAGAATTTTTTATACATATCTTTTTTTTTTAAACAAAAAATGGCAAGTAATCATTAGCAAAAGTTTTATTTTATTCTGAAAAATTTGTTTCAAAATAATTAAATCTGCAGTAAAATGTGTTATTATAAGTTTTTCTTACTTTTTAAATTATTGCATGTTAATCTTCTATATTTCATACGAATATTTAAAAATATTTTTAAAAAATCTAACATTTCTAGTCAGTATTTTGAAAAATTTCTAGACCAATTTTTGCTGTTAAAAAAATTAATATTCTTGAATTTTCGAACTTCAAACCCTCCTTAGATAAAATTCAAAAAAATAATAGACCTTGAAAATTTAAATCTGTTCTACACATATCATATATAATTAAATTTTAGTATTTTAAAACTTTTTTTTGTATTTATGACATGGTCCTGGATCGCTGAACAACTAGAGAAAAGTTAAAAAATGATATGTTTTTAACTTTTTATTTTAACTATGTTACAAAAGTTTCAATTTTTATCTATACTTAATTTGTTGTAGTTACACTTTAATGGGCATTCAAAAGAATTGCTTAAACATTAGTGTGTTTAGGAAAGTAATGAATTAAACTTAAAAAATGTTACAATAACTTATGAAACGAATGTAAGCGGTTTTTGATTTCATTTTTCTTTCAAAATGGATAAATTACAGGGTTAAAAGTCTGGTATTGAAAAAAGAGTTGCAAAAGTGGCAGTAAGATATCGAAAAAATATGAAAAGTCAAAAAATCTAACCTTTACAAGTTGCATTAACATTATCTTCAGCATAAGAATTCAAATACCCAACCATTTTGTCTATTGTCTCTAATGTTATGCCCTGATTTTGAAATTGATTAAATGTTGGAACATAATTCCACTTTGTAGCATTTAAGCAACTGCATCGTTTAGGAATCATACAAACCTCTAGCATTAAAACCAGTATATAAATATATATAGTAATAAATATATTTAAAAGTAAATATATTAGATAAATATATGTATTAAATTTTATATTGGTTAATACTACTGCTTTTTATGTTTAAACATTTAAACATTATCAAGTAAGCGTAATGAAAAAGTTAAACATTAAATCAAACAAGAATATTAAACTTAAAAAAAATGTTTATTTACTTGGGCAGTTTAAAAGTTTGCACACTATTTTCTGAACACTATCACCTATACAGTCACTGCCAGCATTTGATGGGAAAGGAAGAGAACAATTACGTTCTCTTTGAGACACTCCTGAATCACATGAAGCACTACAAGCAGACCATGCTCCCCATGAGCTCCAAGTGCCTCTAACTGAAAAAAAAAATTCAAAAATTTTGTTTGACAAAACTATTAATCAATTGCAATATCAATATATGACTAATTCTATATTTAATATGATATAAATTTAAAATATAAATATATAAATATATATATATATATATATATATATATATATATATATATATATATATATATATATATATATATATATATACATATATATATATATATATATATATATATATATATATATATATATATATATATATATATATATATATATATATATATATATAATATAAATATAAATAAAAGATATACAATTACCATAAGTTATTATTAAATACAATTCTATTTGAAATTTAATGTAATACTAACAACAGTGAACGCAATAAGAATAATTTAAAAGTTGTAAAACTAAAAAAAACCAACTTGGGCAAATTACACCAACATTGCATGGTATAGTTTGAAGTTTTCCTAAACCATTGTCAGATAAGCATAATTCAAGTGTGTTATTTAAGCAAAACCTTTGACGAGATTGAGTTGGAAGACTTGCATTATTTGACTGACAAGTTTCAGAGCAGTCAGTGAATGGTCCCCAGTTTGTCCATGTTCCTTAATAACAAAAAAACCATAACTTTAGAGTTTATTCTATTATTTTTGTTTAAAAATAAAATTAATATTCAAGGTATATTTTATTACAACATTAATGTTTACCACTGCAACTTGGATTTGTTTAAGCAAAGCAGTTTAAAAATAAAAATTTCTTGTAGTTAAAAAATAAACTTTCTACTAAAAAGAGAAAACATTATAATAAAATAATCAAAAAAATGTAGCTAATAACCATGCTCAAACTTGTAACTAAAAAAAAATGAGGATAACTCTCTTCCAAAAAGTGAAAAACATCTATATAGCAAGCACACATACACATAGCCAGCTCTTATATTTGTGGCAACCACACACACGTGCATAATATTTTATTTAATTTTTCAAAAAATCAAATTAAAATTTTTCAACTTACCACATGGTCCTGAACAAATTTTCAACTCTATTTTTGTAAGATTTCCATCAGCTTCACAATCTTCCTGGATTTTACCTGTCATTGGACTTACACAAGATCGAATACGTTGGACATACCCAGTTACTCCACAAACTACAGAACAAGCACTCCAATCACTCCAAGTTGTCCATTGTCCTTTTGCTGAAAATCATTTTTTTTTTAATACTAATTTTATTTATGAAAAAATTTTCATAACATCATCATATATCAACTCTATTAAAATATATATATACAGCCCTCAGAATTTGAAAAAATGAGGTTGACAATTTTTTGCTGACCTTAATCTAGTTGAGGTCGGCATCAGGTCAGCAAATATATATATATATATATATACAACCCTCGGAATTAGGGTCGGTATTTGTCAATGTTGACCTAACTGCCGACCTAAACATGTTTGCAGTCTGGGAAAAAAATTCGCTTTTGCCGACCTCGTTTCAATGTTTTATGGTAAGACCTTTGCATTTGCTGACCAGATGCTGACCTGTAAAAGATCGAGGTCGGCAAATTATTGTCGACCTCAATTTTCCTAATTCCGAGGGTTATATATATATATATATATATATATATATATTATATATATATTATATATATATATATATATATATATATATATATATATATATAAATATTATATATATATATATATATATATATATATATATATATATATATATATATATATATATATATATATATATTGTTATCGCTGCAATTGCATGACTGCGAAAATGTCTCTTAAAAAAAACTTCTTGAGAATTAGGATTTTCTCAGCAATTTTAAAGATTTTCTCTGCAACTTGCTTGCAAAATTCATTTTCCAAAATTTGCAAATAAAGTTTTGCAATGCGTTCCAACAACAGCAAATATTATATAAAAAAGTTAGCAAGAAAAAGAGTACAATCTAAAAAATAACAAACTCGTTTGGTTTAACACCCATAAATACCATTTCTTTAAAAATTTTGGATTTTTTTGGCTAAAAAGTTAAATAACTTAATAAGTCTTATTACAAACTCTACTTCAAGTAGAAAATGTACTTAGTCAACAAAAATATCGAGAAGCCACCTACCTTAAATACTTTCAAAATTTTGGTCAATTATGGATATTACCGTAAGTCTTTAAGTTATTGTTTAACTTTTTTTGTTTGGTATTTTATATACATTGACTAAAATCATTTTTTACTTATCTACTAACATTTCTCTTCTAACTTTTTTAAAAGACCACCTCTAAAATATAAGTTAAATTACGAAAAATGTTTTATAAATATAACAAACTGGTACAAAGAATTTATTTAACGATTTCTTTATTTTACTGCTTGCTTTTAATTAAAAGGTAAATTAAATATGTATATTAAAACGTATTAAAACATATTTAATATGTATTAAATACGTATATTAAAACGTAAATTAACTACTTTTAATAATTGTTTTATGTTTTGAGAATGTCTTATTTTATTACAACAAACTGGTACTAGAAATTTAAAAATCAAGAAAACTGGATTCACTGCTTGCTTGAATTTAAAACGTAAAAGCAACTCTAAATGTTTTAATGAACAAGAGTTATAACATTTTGTGACCATAAATAAAATTACCATTGGTAACTTTCATTGCCATGATAGCGTTCAAGCGTTTGCGACCAATATTTTTTTGTAATTAAATAACATTTGTTGTTGTTTTTGCTGAGAATTTGTAATTGAAAATTTATTTTGCTATGCGACTTATGTATAAAAAAAGCTAATATTAATTATAAAAAAGAACTCTATAAATGAACTCAACAAATATGAAATATGAAATTTATGAGCTTGTGTTTACTATTTTCAAACCTTTTTTTATGTTTATATTTTTAAAACATTTCTTTTGAGGACACAATATATTACATGATGGTGTAAGGATTTGTTCATAAAGGATGTTGAGCAGAATTTAAATAATAATTATATAATAATTAGAAGTAGGAGATCATTAGCTCTCTTCCACAGAGATTTTTATTAAACATAAATCAGTATATTACTTTAAAAATCACCATTTAATGCCCACTATTAAAAAAGAAAAATATATTCAAAAGAATACTCTTAAAATGAACGCAGCAATAATAAAATAAAAGTGATTATTTTATAATATAAAAATATATAGTTCTCAATATATCTTTGAAAATTGGAGCTTAATTTGCTGTGTCGTTGTGAATCTACAGCTATTTTTTTGTTGACTTTATATTTATCTTTAATATGTTACAGACGGTATTTTATTCTAATTTTGGTGCTGTCCAATCAATGTAAGCAACACTTCAGTGGAGTAGAAGAAAAAAGAATATAAGAAAAGGATCCCAGGCATTCCGGGAATATATTTTTATCTCAGGGAGGGGGATTGGGAAATATTTTGATGAATTCCCCATTTTGTCAAAACACTGTATCAAATATATTGCTTGTTAACACCCTGCAAAGTTTTAAATTTTTTTCAAAAAATAATTCAAAGAGCCATGACAGTTGTAATGTTTACTTTTTACTATTTCTGAACAAAACAACTTTGTCAGACTAAATGCAGCAACAGCATAATTTAAAAAAAATAATCTGGTGTGTGTATTTAGCATATATTGATACTATTATATACTGAGTTTCATAGTTTTTACTTAAAGTTTTACATGCATTTTTATGTTTTTTTTTGTCGTAACGTTCATAACCGCGACAGTCATAACGAAAAATCCAATATTAAAAAACAACAAATAAATTAATGCAATCATTGATTTAAGAAAAAAAGTATAAATGATTATTTAAAACTATGTAAATTATGTTAGAAATATGCACTATAACATTATCAAAGTTTTCAATTATAGTTTTATGATACGATTTTTAATGCTATACAACAGAACTGTAAATAAACATCAATACACATTTTTACAACCATTTTGCTTAAAAGTATTTTTAAATTGTTTAAAAAATAGTTATTGAGTTTAGTATGTGTTTTCATAACTTTTTTTCTTTTTCTTTTTCTTTTCTCTCTTTTTCGTGGAATAGACCATATATATATATATATATATATATATTTTTTTTTTATATATATTTTATATATATATAAATATATATGTATATATATATATATATATATATATATATATATATATATATATATATATATATATTTGTGTAAAAATGTATATATATATATATATATATATATATATATATATATATATATATATATATATATATATATATATATATATATATATATATATATATATATATATATATATATATATATATATATATAAGAAAAAAAAAAAATGTATATATATATTAGGGTGGTGCTTAAAACAACTTTTTTGAGAAAAACCTGCTGGTACCCCCCTAAATGTGTTTTATCTAATACAAAAACACTAGGTTTAAAATTTTTTGGAACAAAAAATATTTTTAGGGGTAGCTCAAGGCCCTCAAAAATTTGACGGGTCCCTTAATATTTTGAAAAAAAAACTTTTTCTAAAGTATGTCAACCTTGTACTCAAAATAAGCAAAATTATATAAAAAATTTAAAAATGAAAATAATTTTTTATAAAAATAATTTTTTTAGGTATAAATGCATAAAAACTATTGTTTTTAAGCTGAAAATAAAAAAAGTCAATATTTTCAGGTTTTTTTAAAATAATTTTTTTTAGGCATGTTTTTTATGTAAAATGATTATTATTTTTGAAGTTTTTATATAATATCGCTTCTTTTGAGTACCAGGTTGACATACTTTAGAAAAAGTTTTTTTTTCAAAATATTAGGGACCCGTCAAATTTTTGAGGGCCTTGAGCTACCCCTAAAAATAATTTTTGTTCAAAAAAATTTTAAACCTAGTGTTTTTGTATTAGATAAAACACATTTAGGGGGGTACCAGCAGGTTTTTCTCAAAAAAGTTGTTTTAAGCACCACCCTAATATATATATATATACATTTTTACATAAATATATATATATATTCATATATATATCGCTAGAGTAGCTACTAAATAAAATATTCCAAAGATTGCTGCATTTTTTGAAAATAAGTCAGGGTGCTCCCTAAAGAAAGTAGCTCAAGTTTTTAACTGTAGTCAAACTCGAGTTTCTCAAGTATTAAAAACAAAGACTAACATTCGAACTTTCGAAAAAACAACTGTCCAGATCGTAGCCATCAGCAGAAGAAAGCTATGCGTCCTAAATGTTGTAAATTGTACGAAAATTATAAAAACTTGGATTTTATTATGGATGATGAAAGCTATTTTACCTTAAACAATAGCACATTAGCTGGTAATGATAGGTTTTCTGCCGCTGATCCTTCTCAATGTTTTGACGAAGTAGGATACAATTTGCATAAAAAGTAGAAAGACAAGCTTTTAGTTTCTTGTTGCATAAGCCCCTGTGGAATAAGCCTTCTTTATATTCATCACAGTAAGCAGGCAATCAACCAGTACACTTATAAAAAGATAATAGAAAAAACTTTACTTCCTCTAGTACCAGAATATTATAAAAAAGACAATGAGCTTATCTTCTGGCCAATCTAGCTCGATCACATTACACAAAGTCGGTCATCAACTTTTTAAAATTGAAAAAAATCAAAGTTTTACTCAAAGTTATAAACCCAGCTCACGTTCCAGAGGTAAGACCAATTGAAAACTTTTAGGATGATTTAAAACGGCTAGTGTACAAGTATAGTTAGAGAGCTGAGAATTCGGAAGAGCTTGAAGCAAGAATTAGATATTGCTATTCAAAGATGAATAAAGAAAATTTTCCTTACTCAAATAAAACATCTTTCAAAAAAACTTTATAATATTGCTAAATATGGTATTTGAAATAATTATTTTAATATATTTATAAACTACATATACTAACATATTAAAAGTTGAAATATTAAATAATAAAACTTATTAGTTCTTAAAATATCAATTTTTAAATTTTGTCCAAAATTTTATTTATGAGGTGTTATATATATATTAATGTATAATGCAAGCACTTACTTTCACATCCCAATATTCCATAAATATATGAATAAAAAGATGAAGAGTAATTTGCTAGAAGATTAGAAAAGCTGTCAGAAAACTGGTTGTAATATATATCTTGGCCATTTATAGTGTAACGTGTCATTCTATTTATGTCAGTTTTATTAACTTCGTTTCCTACAGCACCAACATATAACAATCCTTTACTTTTAATGCGATTCTCAGTTTCTACTCGTTTAGTAAAATTATTTTCAATGTTCTCGGCACCATCTGTGAGTAATATAAATATTGGAGACACATTTAGTTTTGTACAATTTTTTGATGCTGCTTCTGCTACTAAGAGAGCATCATTTGTAGCTGTTCCACCATTTCTTTGTTGCAAAGGATTAATAAAAGCAAAAAAATCATTTTTGTTGGTGATGGCACCACATGAAAGTTCTAATTTAGGAGAGCTTCCATAGTTGACCAAAGCAATATCAATATTTGGGTTTAAACCAAAATCTGAACTATTAACAAAATTTAAAACAAATTGCTTTTCATTAACCCATTCTTGAGGATTGATACTAGATGAAGAATCCAACACAAAGACAAACGTAAAATTTATGCTGGAACAGGATTTAACTAAAAAAAATTAACAACATTAGTTTAATTCTTTAAAAAAATAATACATAATTTGAATTTAAATACATAGATATAATTTAAAAGTAATAATAATGATGAAAATAATTATAATAATAATAACAATAAAAATTAAAATGTTACGATAACAATAATAAATACAAAACATTTCAACACAAGTCAACACATGTACTTAATTACATAATTTTCCCTTGTATTTTTTGATTAAATCATCAAACATCTGAGAAAATGTTAAACAAGTTTTGCTTATTATAGTCATTTAATTAAATTAATTGTGTGTTAATTGAAATATAACAAAGATATGGCAATGCTTGGTTACTTTAGTTCATAGACATGAAAATATAAATGTTTAGGAACAGCGATGCCATGTAATCTGCAAGTCCAAAACTTTTTGTAACTCAAGTTAAAAAAGATTTAAATAGAAATGTGTATTTTCTGTATTTGGTTAATGACATTCAATTTATAAAGAATAATGGAATTATTGATTCAAAATCAGAAGACAAACATAAAAGCTTTTAAACATAAAAATAAAACTTCAACTGATTATAGTTTTTTTTTTTTTTTGCATATTATTAACTATAGAACACTTTATTAACTATAGAACACTTTATTAACTATAGAACACTTTATTAACTATAGAACACTTTATTAACTATAGACAGGGTTGGCAAAAACCCGGGTTTTTTTAAAAAAACCCGGCCCAGTGGGTTTTTTTGGGTTTTATTGGGTAAATTTGGGTTTTTTTGGGTATAATTTTTATTTTGTCTCTGTAAAAAAAAATTTTGTGTTTTTGTTTATTGATATTGAAAATTAGTTTTTTTCTACTTTAACTTTAGGATATATTTAATATATTGTTGTTTAATTATTTATAACAAGAATTTTTCAAATTATTTTGAAAAAGATTTTTAAATATAATTTAAAACTGTAATAGGAAAAAAAAATTTCACGCTTAATCTATATGTATTGATTTATTTTAAATTTAAAAGTATTATTTTATATAATTAAAAATGTCAATGAGAAAATGTGAAAAAGAAGGCTTGAGAATGGGAGGTAGTAACTGAAGTTTCAATTAAACTTTGAACTTGAAGTTCAAATGAACAAACTTGTTCCTCTGCGCAGCAGCCTTGTTTATAAAGATTCGTGTTTAGGAGTTAAAGAGTTTTTTTTCTTCTTTAAATCAATTCACCTCCTCAAAGCTTATGGTCACTACAGGCGAGGAGGCTACTTATTTGTGGTTATAACCCTCTCTCAATTCTATAACTCCGAAACATGAACTTTGACGAACAAGGCCGCTGCGCGGAGAAAGGAGTTGAGCGCGGTACTGCCAGGGACGTGGTGGGGATCAAACTCGGAACCTCTCACTTATGAATTGAGCGCTCTACCACAACACCACTACCGCAAAAGAGTTGAGAGAGGGTTGTAACCACAACAAGGTAGTCTCCTCGACTGTTGTGTTGGCTTCTCTGGTCACTACTACTCATTTAAATTCAACTTGGGAGGTGAACAACATTATGTAATAAAAATCTCAATCGATAAAAATATTTGAATAAAAATTGTAATAATGTATTTCCAAATAATGATTCAAATAATAGTAAACCTGCTCTAATAGCTGTTATTGTTGGTTATAATAGTTAATAATAATAGTTAATAATAATTAAGTTAATAAAAATAGTTAATAATTATTTTAGTAAATAATATTATAGTTATAATGTTAAAGTTGGTTATAATAGTTCATAAACTTATTAAATATCTTTAAAAAAACCCAATAAAACTCAGATTTTCCAGGGTTTTATTGGGTTTTTTTAGGCGGGTTTTTTTGGGTTTTATTGGGCGGGTTTTTTTGGGCGGGTTTTTTAATGCCAACCCTGACTATAGAACACTTTATTAACTATAGAACACTTTATTAACTATAGAACACTTTATTAACTATAGAACACTTTATTAACTATAGAACACTTTATTAACTATGAAACACAATGGAAAATATATTGTTAACTATACAAAATTATTAACAACAGAACACATCAACAACTATGAAACATTTTGTTAACTATGTAACATATTGTTAACTATGGAACATAATGTTAACTATAGAACATATTGTTAGTTATGGGCATTTGCTCTTAATACATTAAATTTATCACTTTATACTTTATGGATTTGTAAAAGAATTGTATATTATGAAATATTACAAATATTTTTGTGCAAGTCTTTAAGTATAATAAAATGTAACATAACTAAACTTTTAAGTAAAAATGTAAAAAACATGTGCCAATCATTTTGTCACTTGATGATGATTTGAACTTAGTAGTAAAAAGTCCAGTAGCACTTAAGTATCTTTCTGCTTCAACTGATGATGGTGATAAAGATTTTAAAAGACAGTACACCTTTTTTTGCATTTTTGGACAGTCATTTGATCTTTCAAATACCGCCATTTCTTTTTTGATACAATTTAAAACATTTAAGGAAGCTTTGTTCATTATTAGATTTGAGTTTTGGGCTAAAAAATGGTGAAGTCCTTTAGCCTTTCTCTTTATTTGTAAAAGTTCTTTATTTCAACATCAGAGGCTTTAGATTCAAATGTAAATGCTTTATGATTTTTAGGATAATAAAAAAACATGAAAACATTTACGAAAATATTTTTTTTCTAAAAAGAATTTTATTTCAGACATTGGATAGTCTGAAATAGAATTCTTTTTTTCAGAATTATCATAGTGACTTGATGCCTCTAAATATCTTACAGATGGCCTTCAACTTAAAAGTTCTTCTTTTGGAAATTCTTTTCATTGTTGACTCAAAGATAAAGAGATACTGTTGTATCTTTTTTTTATCAAAATTTTAGAAATTATTTACCTTTTTTTTAGATACAAAAGGAGTAAAATCTTTTTTAAAAATAAACAATAGCACCAGCTTCAATAATTTCTGTAATTTCTCTAAAAAGAGTAAAATCTTTTTTACAAAAATTATTGACATTAGCACTAGCTTTAATAATTTCAAAAAAATCTCACAAATATCTAGCAGTTTTAATCTCCCAAATATCTAGCAGTTTTAATCTCCAAAATATCTAGTAGTTTTAATCTCATCAGTTGTTAGGATCAAAATGATCATTTTAGAGATATAAATCTAATGTGTATTTTTATTCAAAATTTAAACTTACTCTTTACCAAACTCATTAAGATAACAGAATTGATGATTATCATCAAAAGAAGACCTTTTAAAAATCCTTACAATAATTTTTTGGATATTGGTTTTACTTCTATCAAGCTCACATAACTCAACAGTTTTTTTGTTAAGTGGTAATTCTTCCCAATTGACAGAAGTTTGGTACTTTGTTTCACAATTATTATCATCAACTTCATCAGTATCCTTTTCTACATAGTCACAACAAAAATCTTTATATTCTATTAGATCATTCATCTTTTTTCACACTAACTATTGCCAAGTAAATTCCATGAAAAATACATAGTTTATGAGTTATTTAGGACAACCTTCTGGTTTGACTTCTGGTTTGACTCAAGACCATTTGTAACTACTCTAAAAGTACATTAGGATTTAACTCAAAATTTTAAAACTTTGTTTCAATCAATTTAAGACCATCTTCAGTTGTCATTGATTCAACAACCCTTACTATTCCAAGGCCTTGAATTCAATTAACTGACATGTGTAAGTTAAACACATATATCACCATTCTCAATCATTTTTTGCAAATTTTTATATTTTCTACTTTTTCTAAATGACAAAATGTTGTTGTTGCTAATTTTTTGCCTTGAAAGTTGAAAGACGATATTTTACACTTGCCAATATTTTTATCCTTTGTTAAATTTAAACACATTATTGTTATTAAAACAAAACAAATATTACAAAGGTAAGAAAGTAAAAAAGCAAACACAATAAAGAGATGCAATCTTAGCAGATGCTAATTTTGTAATGGATTTGATATATAGTTTCCAAGAGAAACCGGAAGTAAGAGTTAATCCTAGAAGACAAAGAGTAGATGAGTCATCGAGTACATTACTGTTCATTGAGCTTTATCTGAGTTAAGGTTCACTAAACATTAAAATTAAAATACATTAACCATTGCTTTAACCATTCATTGATGTCACCTAGTGTTTTTTGTAAACTATAACAGTCTTCTAATGATTCTATTGATTGGTTTTAAGAAAATTTTATAGGCTTTTTTATAGGTTTTTTATATAATTTTATAGGCTTTTTAATATGATTGAATGATTTTATTGATTGGATTAGTTTTAAGACAATTTTATAGGCTTTTTTATAGGTACTTTAATATGATTGAAGTATATAAATATAATAAATCGAAGAGGTCCTAATACACTATTCTGAGGTATACCACTTAAAACAAACTTCTATTCTGATTTAAAATCACCTACAATGACTGGTTATATTCATTTTGAAAGAAAATTTTTAATTTAATACAGATTTTTTCAGATATTTTATAGTTTTTGCAACAATTTCATATGTGGTACTTTATCAAATGCCTTGGCCAAGTCTAGAAACATGATATCCACAGCATTGTATTCATTAATTCCATTTGTTATATGATTTTTTTAACAAAACCATGTTGACTTGTTGAGATCAAATGGTTGTGTTTCGAATGCATCATACTTTTTTTTTATAATTCTACCTAAAACTCTACAAGATTTCAATGTTGATGAAGTTGTGTATAAAATTTATTTGTATAACAAAAATTGTTTACATCCCACACTATATTTGACTAACTAAAATCTCCTGTAATCATAACATCATTAAACTCGTTTAAACTCTTATGGTTTGAAACACTTTATTAAAACTTTGAACCATATTAATTCATTGTTTTAAACCACCAATTAACTATTGGTGGTTTATAAATGTAACCTACTAAAATTGAAAAATGTTTTATTTTTATTGAACACCAAACATCATCAACAGGGTCCACTCAAAAGTTACAAAAATTCCTGTACTTATTAATTAATTTAGATATGTTT